CTGTCTTTACATTGCTGAAGGATAAGAAACTGACCAACTCTAATATAGTCAAACTTTTAAACTAAATCAATTTATATTGTAATAAAAAACGCATCATATTCTGCTGGGTCCTTAGCTATCTAAGCATCCAGGGAAATGGAAAGACAGATAAGGCAGCTAAAGAATCAGTAAAAATGAATATACCAAAAACAAAAGTTACTGATACGGATTTCAAAACAATAATTAATATATATATATCTTAAATAAGTGGCAAGAGTTATAGAATACTCACCTAAATAATAAATAGCAAAAAATCAAACCTACATTTGTGATAAGACACCATAACACCAGACTTTCTCAAAGAGAAGACATAGTGTTAACAAGAATTAGAATTGGTCATACCAATATCACACATTCTTTCCTCCTAAAAGATGAGGATCCACCTAAATGCATAATATACCAGGGGACATACACCATAAAACATTTTATGATGGACTGTGTCAAATTTAGTCCTATCTGTAAAGGTGATAGCCTTAAAGGTCTTTTTAATAATGTTAGTGAAAAAAACATACTGACTTACCTGAGGAAAAGTAAATTATACACCAAAATTTAATCCAAACAACTTCACCTTCAGATGAACTATACAACTAGCTTCCAATTATATTTCACAAATTTTGAAACTTAAAACTTTCGAAGATATTATTGAATAGAAATTCATTTTCAGCATTAAATCAACCAAGGGGATTAATGTACTGGTAAAATAAATAAACAAAACAAACCAAATCAGAGATAAGACGCTCTAAATATGGCTAGAGAAATGGCTGAAAGCACTTGTGAAAATAAAAATCATGGACAATTTTTATATTCCTTAACTCCTATCAAATGGAAAAATGTTAGGATGCTGGAAAAACTTAATAAAAAAACTAATTCAATCTTACTTGTCAGCCATATTCAATGAAAGATGTTTGAAAGAAAGGTTGCTGACAAAATATACATTATATATATATATATATATATATATATATATATATATATATAATAAAGAAGTTAATGGTCAGAGTTGAATTAGAACAGTAGTATTAAAAAAGTGCTCAATACACATATATAAAAAGATAAAACTTTAACATGTGGAGCTTTTAAGCATAGAAAATTAGGAAATAAGCCAATTCCGCTAACTTGGTTTCAACTTTTCGGTATCTTCAGGTGATTTTGATCAATTGATTTCCTAATGATTTTATATGTGTGTATATATATATATATATATATATATATATATATATATATATATATATATATATATACACAGTGTATCACAAAAGTGAGTACACCCCTCACATTTCTTCAAATATTTAAGTATATCTCTTCATGGGACAACACTGACAAAATGACACTTTGACACAATGAAAAGTAGCCTATCTGCAGCATATATAACAGAGTTAATTTATTTTTCCCTCAAAATAACTCAAAATATAGCCATTAAAAGCTAAATCCCTGGCAACAAAAGTGAGTACACCCCTTAGGAAAAGTTGTCAATATTAATATACATGTCAACTGTCAATATTTTGTGTGGCCACCATCATTATCCAATACTGCCTTTACTCTCCTGGGCATGGAGTTTACCAGAGCTTCACAGGTAGTCACTGGAATGCTCTTCCACTCCTCAATGATGACGTCGCGGAGCTGGCGGATATTTGAGACTCTGCGCACCTCCACCTTCTGCTTGAGGATGGCCCAAAGATGTTCTATTGGGTTCAAGTCTGGAGACATGCTTGGCCAGTCCATCACCTTTACCCTCAGCCTCTTCAGTAAAGCAGTGGTTGTCTTGGATGTGTGTTTGGGGTCATTGTCATGTTGGAACACTGCTCTGCGACCCAGTTTCTGGAGGGAAGGGATCATGCTCTGCTGCAGTATTTCACAGTACTTGTTGGAGTTCATGTTTCCCTCAATGAAATGTAACTCTCCAATACCTGCAGCACTCATGAAGCCCAGACCATGACATTCCCACCACCATGCTTGACTGTAGGCATGACACACTTATCTTTGTACTCCTCATCTGGTCGCCGCCACACATGCTAAAGGCCATCAGAACCAAACAAATTAAATTTTGTCTCATCAGACAATAGGACATGGTTCCAGTAATCTATGGGCTTTGTTGACATGTCTTCAGCAAACTGTTTGCAGGCTTTCTTGTGTATTGCCTTCAGAAGAGGCTTCCTCCTGGGGAAACAGCCATGCACATCAATTTGATGTAGTGTGCGGCGTATGGTCTGAACACTACCAGGCTGAATCCCAATCTCTTTAATCTCTACAGCAATGCTAACAGCACTCCTACACTGATCTTTCAAAGAAAGCATTTGGATGTGATGCTCAGCATGTGCACTCAGCTTCTTTGGACGACCTACCCGAGGCCTGTTCTGAGTGGACCCTGCTCTTTTAAAATGCTGGATGGTCTTAGCCACTGTGCTGCAGCTCAGTTTCAGGGTGTTGGCAATCTTCTTGTAGCCTTGGCCATCTTTATGTAGTTCAACAATACATTTTTTAAGATCTTCAGAGAGTTCTTTGCCATGTGGTGCCATGTTGGAACTTTCAGTGACTGGTAAGAGAGAGTTTTAGAGCTGCACTACAAATTTGAATACACCTGCTCCCCATGAACACATGGGCATAGTTACACTAATGAGTCACATGGCATTTTGGAGGGAAAATGAAAAGCAGTACTCAATTTAGACATTTAGGGATGTAGGGTGTACTCGCTTTTATGATACACTGTGTATATATATATATATATATATATATATATACACACACACACACACTATGGTGTATGGAAATATTCTTGTTGGTAATTAATGTAGAAAGGCTGACTTTTATGATTTTTCCTCTTTAAGACTTTTATATTGGGTTCTGAATTAAGAGAAATGATAATAACAAAATAACACCCCCCACCCCCCAAAAAAAACAAGGGAATATCTTTGACACTAAATGATCCAGTAGGAGTTAAAGTATCTTTTAATCAACTGACTATAAGCATTGGATGTGCTGTTAATTTAGATGTTGGTCAACTTGATAATATTTTGGTTATCATTTTACTGAATCTTTTCTAAAAGCAATTGTTTTATTGACATAAATTATACAAAAAATATAATTTCTTCAAAACTGGTATTTTAGTTGTTGATTTTTTACAGTCATCTTACAGTTTCCAAGTACAGTAGCCCATTAATAAAAATAAAAATATTCCCCGGGATATATTAAGGGTTAGAGATATAAAGGAAGGCAGTTAGTCACTTACCTGACAAGTTTGTGTGAATGGATGATGAAATCTATGTCGGGAGGCTTAGCAAAGGGAGAAAAACTACTAAGGTCCACAAGGGATAGGAAGTTTGGGAGAGCCATGATCACCTCTGTCCTGAAGAGACATGGCATATAGCAGAAGAAGATAATTAAATTGAAACACAACCAACAAATGATTATTTTATTGATAGATTAAACACCATTTCAATTAACTGTGATCTAATATCTAAAATGAAAAGTTCAAATATTTAACAAAAAACAAAAAAATAATCAATTTAAGGTTTTGAGATTTTAAAGAATTTTTTTTCTGTTTCTGGTATTGTTGAAGTAACGTAAACTTCATTTATATTTTGTATCCCTTCACGACATAGATGATCATAGATCTCCACCTCCTCGTGTCCCTTGTTGCTATTAAGTTTTGGCTTTTTGTTATTTCTTCCAAACCCTATTTTGCAATCCACTTGCTCAAACCCATTAAATATCTTAAATTTCTCCCGTCTTTCCTTTAATCTGTCCTGTGAGTATCAGAGTTTCCAAGCCCTCCTTTCCTTATTACATGCCCCAGAAATTTCAACTACCTCTTCCTAATGTTAAGTATAAGTTTTCTTTTCATTTCCATTCTCTTCAAAACCTTGTTGTTGTTGCTCACATGTTCAGCCCATGGTATCCTCACCATATTTCTTTAGAACTACATTTCTATTGCTTCAAGTCTCTTTCTCATCTTTGAGAAGAGATTGTCTCAGCATTCACTGCCATGCATGGAGACAGATATCACATATCAGTTCAATACTCTTTTCTTTGAAATTTAATCAAATTTTTCTATCTCCTAATACTTTGCTTAGCTTTTGGAATGCATCTTCAGATCTCACTGTCACATTTACTGATAGTATTTATAATGTGGTATATTTATATGTCTTCTTGTGCATAGTTTGTCATTGTGGATTTATAAAAGCATCAACAAAAAATACTCCTTTTTAAGCCTTTTATATTTCATTCTTGAGATAGTGGTCAGTAATGGAATAATAGTTAGAAACTTATAAGACCAAATTTTTATAAGCCTATAATTAATACTGGGTTTTTAATTTAGTTTGCTTTGTTTAGTGGCATATCAACTCCTTATGGGTCATTTAATGCTGAAATTTAATTTTCTTGGGAGGTTTGATAATTTATTTATTATTTTAATGTAGTGCTGCAAATTTTTGTTCTATGAATATATATTGCTGATATTTTTACTATGAAAATGTATTTTTCTATTTTCATAATGTTTTAACCTTGGTTGGGGGGTTCACTATTTGTCCATAACTAGGATCCTAGCAGGTGCTACCATCCCAATTCAAAGGGGGCCTGGGAACAACAGCAATTAAGAGGTGGTTCCATGCTCCTCAAAACCTACTGATGAGAGGTCTTGCTGTTGGATGTAGTTTATCATCATACCCAGGAAAGCTGGAATTTTAGTAACCTTTAATTAATGTCAGGATTTTATTTTAATAATTATAATGAATATTGGATTTTCTTGGAGGCATTGATAGGTTAATTTCAGGATTTTATGTTTTGATTGAATGAACTTCTTGAACTTTGTCTTTGTGTTGTGACAGACACAAGAATATTTTGTGTCTCTTCTGATGCCAGGCTTGTCAAAATTAAGCCAGTGAAATAGATGAACGTAAATTTTAGAAAGTCTCATTTTGTTTAAGTTAAATTTCTAATTTATCTTCTTTTTTTTTTCCTTTCAGTTGAAAGCTGAACTGAATTTACCATTGCATGTAAGCCGGGAGGACATTCTTTCGTTGAAGGGTCACCATGTCAAAACATTTTCACAGATTCCACAAAGCATTGTGAAAAAATTTGGCAAAAAGAAAAAAATTGAAATGTCTTTTCTCAGCTCCTGGAATGATGAGGACATCATTACTGGAGGAAGCAAAACCCAGGACTCTGAAAGTAAAGCAATTATTTCTAAACCAAATGTGAAGCAGCATCATTTCTGTACAGTGACCAGTGAATTTGAAATAGAGTTTCCTTTCACGCATGTAGCATGGAAATATCACACACCGAACAAGTTCAGCAAGGATTTTCCAATAAAGGATTGCAGGGTAATGTTTCCTGTCATATTAATTATTTATAGGGTAGAAAAGGCATGTTTGTCTTAACAGTTGAGAGATAAATCATACTTTGTTATAAAATAATGTTCACTCTGTACAAGGCCCAAGAGCTACTCAAGGTAGAGGGCTATGTAGTAAGAGGTAAAAGGCACATATTATGAAGATATTTGGGGAAGATAATGGTTATAGTAATTGATTTAAATTTGGATGTACTGTAAGAAGGTTAGTGTTCCAGCCATGAAACCTGGGTTTGAATCTTGATTTGTCAAGAACATGACTTTGATAATATCAACTTGGGAAGGCAATCTCGATCTGCTGTGCCATTGGGAAGTTCCTGAAAATCATAATACGTTTTGACCTGAGCCTTGTGAGTGAAAATGTGTTGACAGAATTGATGGCTGAGCTTGAATGAGGTCACAAGTCACCGTGACTGAGGGTTTGAGTGTACTGCTGATTATGCCAGATTAACTAAGGTTTGCTCAGCATAGTTGCAGTATAAATCACAGGTTGAGTCTATTGGTATTGAAACACAAATGTGCCTGAGTAGGTGTTTGCAACAGGGATTAGTTTGCCACATCAACAGATGAGAATGCTGCTCAGAAACAAGCAGCCAAATTTTTCATTACAAATAACAGGTTGTCTAGTTCTGAATTTATTCATACATGATGAAAAATCTGACCATAATTCACCAAATGTTTTATTTCACTTTTTCCAAAGAGTTGAATCACCATCATTACCTCCATATTCCATTTGTAAGGAGCAAGGAGGACAGCTTTTCCCCCCTAAAACTACTACTTTGTCTTAACTTTTTCAAGTTAATTTTGTCTATCCACTTATGCTCATAATCTTCACTTTCTACTACCTCCGTTTTTATTCATATCACCCCCAACTTGTAGAAATCTACCTTGAGTGGCAGTCGGGTTTTTTTTTTTTATTGGGTGAACATTTACTGGTAGAAAATATTACTGTGTTTACTAATGGAACCCCAAAGCATGATTTTATTAAATTAAGTTTATTCTTTATTTTGTCTTGTCATTTTGTAATGCACAATGAAATTGGACAGCAGCCCCCAGATGCACCAACATGAATAAACATAAGCATTTATAACCCTCTGGAGGGCCCTTGTGTCCAATGCTGAAGAGCTGGCATACCAAACAGTGTACAAGCACACACTCAAGAGAGAAGCAGCAGGAGATATCCAGCAGCTCCCTTAGTAAATTTTTTTTCTCTGAGAATTCTCCGGAAATAAAATCACTGCTGCACATTCTTGAATATTGTGATGATATTTCTAGTCTAGGAGAAGACCTTCACAATGAGCATGCTTAGAAAATTTTGTTCAATCTCATCACACAGACCATGCCAGTAACCAAAGAGATAGGGGCTGTAGTATTTACCTGAGTCTAGCACCAGCTCTTTTGAGTTTTAGGTATTTTAAGGTTATTCTTGAAAATCCATGCAGGCAATCTTTTTATTTCACTTCTGAAGCCCACCTCATCACACACTGAAATGAGTCCAAACACAGTAGTGTCATCCACTAGATAGGGATAGACAAGGACACAATCACAAGTGTAGATGGTGTACAAAAGTGGGCTTAATATACATCCTTGTAGGGGTGACCTGGTTATGACGACAAACTACATCCGCATACTAGGTAAGATGATAAACTACACTCCAACAGCAAGGCCTCTGATCAGGAGGTTTTGAGGAGTGTGGAACACCTCTTAATTGCTGGTGTTCCCAGGTCCACTCTGACCCAGGGTGGTAGCAATTGTTGGGATCCCAGTTATAGTTAAATAGTTACCCACATGCCCCCCCCCCAACTAGGGTTAAAACACTGTGAAAGTGTAAAAATAGGTTTTAATACCAGAAATAATTTGTAAAAAAAAGTTATTACCAGCAATACATTTTTGAAAAAAGATATTACCAGCTATGCTTCTTTTGAAAAAATTTTTGAAGAAAAAATATCATCAGAAATAGATTTTTGAAGGAAACAAATTTTACCAGCAATACATTTGAAAAAAAAATATTACCAGCAATAAAAATCTTGTCAGCATTAAATAACCCATTGAGGTTGATATGCTGTAAAACAAAAAAAAAAACAACCAAACATTGTTATAAGGCACTGGTAGTGAGCATGAGAATGGGAGAGAAGTGCTAAATAATTTGTCAGTGATTTGAGAGAAAGTCCTGACAGATGGGCTTAGATAGTTATAGTTGTCTGAAGGATGTTTGGATGAAAAGAAAGTATATCTTCTGTTACGAAAATTGTGCCCAGGTGAACATGAAAAATATCTGAATTTCATTTTGCTTAATGCTCCTAAAAAAATGTCATTTAATGAAATGGCCCATTTAAAACCAGAAACTTTCAATTGTGGGAAAAAAAATCACAAATGAAACTCCTGCAAGTTGAAAAGCAAAAGAAATACACAAATTAACTTGTTGAATGTAGTGCTACCAACTAAAATACTGTAAATTTCAAATAATAGAAAATTTGTGATAGTAAAAATGAATAACACAAGAATGTACATTGCTGAAGGTGCAAAATTTTAACAGAGAAGATATGTAAATCAATTAAGGTCTACATATACACACACTACAAAATTCTTTTCCATGAATTATGATTTTTCTTGACTAGCTATTTATGCTAACCAAGGGAGAAAAAATTCTTTTTACATTAGTATTCAAATCCTTGTTGCCACTGTTAGGTCTTTACTGAATATAACCCAATATATGAAATATAAGGTTGCTGGGGTCAACATAGTCTTACTGAATTCTGTAGTAAGCATATAAGAGCCCTCTCCCTCTCTCCTTGGTTTCTGAGTCTATGCTATTTGGATGAGTCCAGGTCATATTCTGGAGAGGTGTGTTCATCTCCACAACAATATTACTTTAATATTAGGTTGTGTGAAATAATTTTCTGTTTTGGCTTTCAACATTGTTTCAAAATATGATAATTGTTTCCCAAAAATGAATATTAATTTTGTCTCAATGCATTCAAATGGTAAACATTGGAAAAGTGCTTATTGTATTTTGAAGAATGGTTGAAAGTCAAAATTGTTATTTTTATCCATTTTCCTCTTATTTTCCACAGTATTGCCTTAACACAAATATTAATTTTCCATCAACCTCTTAGGCATAGTATAAATGGAAAATCATTTTAAGACTATTTAAATTGAACATGATTGTTAAAACAATTCATATCTCTTCAACTTGAAAAAGCTAACAAAAATCTTTTTTTGTCAGGAAAATTATTGAGCTTTGTCTGCTGAAAGCACTGCACAACTTTACACAACTAATTGGTTTGTAAATTCTCCATCATTTGCTTGTAGTAATTGTCTGAAGCTAAGTATTAATTCCCATGCAGAGTTCAATGTAAGTATCATCAATGTACAGAGACAAGACATAAGTAAAAAGATACTTTCTTCAGAACTGATATTTAATACCTCTTAATAATTACTTAGTTTTATTAAGAAACAAGCATTAGCTATGCAATCAGTTCACAAGGCTTTGAACTCTAGAAGCATTGGAATTTTGAAAAAAGAGTATATTATTAGACTATGAAAATAGAATTAGCCAGTTTGCAGAATATTGCTCCAAGGGAAACGGGAATATCTTGCCAACTGTAAGTTCATAATATGCAATACAAGAGTGATCTGATAAATTGCTAAGTATTTTTGAATCGTAGATTTTCCTGAATGTAAGTTTGGTTTGATAATAATGCTCCTATTAGTCATTGTTTTGGTTAATTCCTAATTTTTGCTTTAAAATTTGGTTTTAAAAAACTTTAGTCATAAACAAATATAAGAGGAAATAAGGTTAAAAATGTAAAAGGAAAATATCTCAAAATATGAAGCATTGTCCACTCCTGATAAATAAGTACATTTTATTCGTCTTATGGCAGGTAACTCATTTTTGAGTACACTTATGTGTTAAGGTCACTAATTAATCCATATTGCTCATGCCCATTTATGCCTCTTCAACACCCACAGGGCCAATCTGTGGTTTATACTGCTACAAACACAATGAAGTTGAAACACACATGGAATCTCTTCTTTGCAGAGGCCAGGAAAATCATAAAGGCACAATCTCAAAAAAGATTTCTTGTAAATGTGTATGTATGTAACTCACTCATAGTAGTAATCCTTTTGATTCTCTGTGAGATTTTTAGGTGTATGATAATGTAGGGAATGTGAAATGAACCTCAATTAAAATTTCTAGGAGAGAGCAATAATCTGTCTTGATCCATAGTTGAACTATGCCAGCACACTCAAACACTCAGTCACAATGACTTCCAACTTCATGCTAGCACTGCCATTTAAGGTTTCTTAATAGTTTCATTTATCCATTTTCTCTAAAAAAAAAAAAAAAGTGTGGGTCAACTTATGGCATGGTTTGAAGCACTTTTTAATTATGGTGCATTCTGATATGTGGATGTGATATAGGTTTATGTGGATGTTTCCAGGTTATCTTTTGATAATGTCCTTTATCCAAAATACATCAGTTTTTGACCTTTTTAAAAATGCATGCAAAAATAATTAGTACAAAGTTATATTTTACATATACTGATAAAATTTTATACCTCTTAAAATATAGAAAATTCAAAGAATTCATAAGTCCATATCAGAAAGTTCTTGTGTTAAACTTCTATGTCCTTTAGCATATGAAAGAAAGAATAAAGTTCTTGTAAATGTGTATGTATGTAACTCACTCATAGTAGTAATCCTTTTGACTCTCTGTGAGATTTTTAGGTGTATGATAATGTAGGGCATATGAGAACGGACAAACTTATTTCATCGACTCTCTTGTTTCTTGATTTCACAGATTTGACCATCCCATTTTCTTCATCTACATTTAGGCCACTTTTATTTTTTTTATCTTCTTGTTTTTATTCATGATAAACAAATACATTGAGTCAATTGCCTTGTCCACTGCATGGAAAGTTGGCTCCCTGTGCCGCGCCAGGAAATTTTTCTCCCCAGAATCGATCCTCC